GCAAGGATACTACCAGAGATGTGGAACAGGACCAGAGCAATGGTCCCATGGTGGATGGTTTGTCGAGGAAACCCAAAGGCGAGTAGCAGGTCTTTGATAGAGCTACTCCGTAGGAGATTGACGGGTATACTTTCGCCTCTCATAAAGACGCGAAAAGGTAGCGAATTCGGATCGTTGATCACGAGATCACGGGCTGTTAGAACGACGTCTCCCAGCGAGTAGAGATAGGCGACGGTGACGATGCTACATATAAAGTTGAGGAGAACACCGATCGTCGAGATTGGTAAGAATGACTTGGCGAGCCAGGAAGGGAGCGTCGAGGCGACTTCGGGTGACATGAGGATCTGGGTAATGACCATCTGCAGGGCAGCAGTCAAAATTGGCTATTGTCGCGTCAGTATCCGGTTGAGATATGTCACAGGAAGCACACCAACTAGTAATGTTATCGCATTAGCCGCTTTTGTCTCGGTATCAACGATCAGCTGGATTGGATACGGAAGCGTGTCTATATCGTAATCAGTGAGTTAATTACACGCCAAATCTCTGCACCTACAGTTTTGTAATGCGTTTTCCATCCAGCTCTGGGGGGATATCTGGTAGAGGGCGGGTACAAGTATTTTGACGGTTGTGACCCCTTCGACAGCCCGCCCTATGTGCCAGCACAATAGCGGCGGGCAACCCGCTCAACAGAAAATCATCTTCGAAATGTCTTCACTGATGCCTGCTTATGTACAGCAGAAACATTTAAGCTGGTCCAAATGTAACGTGTTGACCACAGCAATTCGTGGAAGTTGCGCCTTGATCAAGAGTGCGACGAGCGAACAAATCAGATTGTAGAAACAACTGGACGTGGATTTTAGAACATGAGAAAGGAGTATAGCTCGATATAGGTTCAATGTATAATATTTCGCACAAAAGCCGGATGAGGAAGAAACCAAGCTGTTTCTTGGCGACCAAATTTGGAGCGGGCCATCACGGGCAAACGAACTGGCCACATCCCCCTTTGAGTACTTGCCTAACCTGCCCATCTATAATTCACTGCAAATATTCTAGGCCTATTTCATGAATTGGGTCGAACCACATCCTAAGCGCTTACCTACCCCAAACGAAATCCTTCGGATCAAGGATGAAGTCGCGTTACTCGACTTTGAGATAGCATCTCTATATACATACCTGCGTGAATTGGAGAGAGATCGTGACAATAAAGCTTCATTCGTCGCTCCAATTCGTCGTATACCGCCAGAAATACTGGGCGACATCGCGATGGCCTGCTTGCAAGTCGGAATACCCCCTTATATACTCAGTCAAGTATCCTCATTAATGCGTGATGCGGTCAATGGAATGAAGAAACTATGGTCATCTATACATTACTTCGTGCCACGAGGTCAGAATATGGCGGACAAGGACCTGACAGTAACGCCTGTAAGCCGGCCCTTTATGCGAGATACATCAGTGCATATGGTATTGAGCTTGCTTGGCGGCTCGCCCATTTCCAAGCAGATCCTAGCTATTTCGCCTAGTACATGACCTCAAAAGCCTATCCATACGTGGTGCTTGCTCT